GGGATGAGCCCACAGGCTTAAATCCACATAAGCTGGAGCTGGGGGCAGGCTAAGAAAATAATAACTTTGACTGAAGGAGAGAGACAGGATCACAAGTTGCTGTGGAAAAAGGTAAGCTGTGGCCATGTAAGAAGTGGGAAGTGTGCTGACTGTTCTTGGAGGAGGTGGCTGGTAGTCTTTGGAAACAGGAGAATGCCCAGGCTGGCAGCATAGGATCAGCAACAGCACAGCTGTATAGGGTATGTGGGGTGACTGAGCATGTAACTGAAGCTAGGACTAGGGTAATGAATGAAGAGGAAGATGTCCCAGGAGACAGCCTCTGGTATGGAGAAAAGCCCAGGCTGACTTGTGAGGAACTGGTGGACAATGTGAAAGGGTTAGGGCACACACAAAAAATGTGTGAAAGTCAATCTGATGGTGGTAGGTCAGAAATAAGAATCCAGCCTCTAGCACATTTGATGTGTAACTAAATTAAGGAGGAACATCAGAAACAATAACTACAAATATTGACACAGAAGAGATGACCTAAAAAAAAAGTCATGAAAACTACATTTGAAAAAGTTCAATATACCAAAGTATAAGGGGGCTTGACTTTGAATTTTCAAAAAGGTTCTGGTAATTTTTTTCTGGAAGCTGTTAGAGCTGAATGGACTTTCTCATGTATTCTTTTTCTTCCTACCATGTACTTGTGCAGATGTGTTACAACATGCTGGTTTTATCTTCAAGAATACCATTATTCTTCTTTCCATTTCCTCCTCAAAGCTTAACCTGGGGAGGTAGGAAAAAAAGACAGAACATCTGCATTTCTAACAGTTCCCTGTTTTATTGCAGTACATCAAAGTAGGTTAATATTAAGTGTGTTACCAACATAAAATATTGGTGGTAAGTCATTTTTACATTGTTGACTTTTCCACCTTAAATATTTCTGTGCAAAAGAATCTACATCATTGTTCTGTAGCAGAGAATCTCTTACAATGTCCCCTACAACATTGAGGGCATTAAACAAAATAGTGAGAAGAGGCAAAAAGCAGAATCTTTCCCCCACACGCACACTTGTCAGCTTTTATACTCTAAAACAAAAAAGTGATTACATCTATGCCATGCAAAACTGTACAATAATATTACAATGAAAAACCTAAAAAACATATTTTAAAAATAAATGATATGAAACTGTCATACATAAAAAGGCAGGTATAATTGCTCTGAAATACCAACACTGGTTTGTTTGTGGATTTCTTCCCTGTGGATGAGACTTTCTTAAATGCAGAATGAGAACAGGTTGTACTGAGCTGCAGCTGGAATGACAGACGAAGTGGAGCTGGGATTTAGGCTGGAAAGCCCACAGCAGAGCGGCTTCTGGGGGTGTTTATCCAATACAGTGGGAACACAAAGCACACAGAGGGGTGCAGTTTGCGTTAGTGCAGAAAGTTGTCCCATTTCCTCCATGGAACTGACTCCTATTAACAACAAAACCCACAGCAGAAGCTACTATGTGCCACTGATTCTCAGACTAAGGCTCAAGAGGTGTGGGTACTTGCACTGCAATAAATTTTACCCTTATTGTATCCATTCAAAATTAAACAGCATTCCTAAAATAGGGAAAAAAAAAAAAAAAAACCAAAAACAAAACAACCCAAAATATTCTTCTACCCAAGAGCATGTTTGTCCTGTCATTCAGGGTCTGGCCATGCAAAACAATATGGTGCCAGAATCTGTTTCTGTGTTAATACTCGAGTTGTTTTGTTTTGAAAGAGTGGCACACTCTGTGAACCAGTCAGGCACACTTGAACTCCATTTCTATACTTTTTGGGCTGTTTTGGTATGACAAGACCCTTAACTTCCCTCTGCCATTACCTGAGAATAACACACCTGGCTTATAGTTTTATCAGAGTCAAATTAAAGAGATAACATTCCCGACTTAGCTTTGAAACTGATTAAAATAGGCAAAACACACATTTGGAACAAGCCACAGCAACTGAGAGGAAAAGCAGCAACTACTTCACCACAGCCTCAGGAATGTTTTTTGAAACCACCAGCTGTCTTCTACAGGTCAAAGGCAATAGAGAAGAGAGTACTATGACCCTGCTTTTGGGTTTATGAAATGTGCAAGGAAGCCACATTATCTGTGTGTGCATATGTGCGGGGGAAAACTATTTACCAAACCTTTTTCATTTTATATCCTGGAATCTTTAGTAGCTGCCTGAATCTGTTGAGATCCTTTGTTGCTATCAAAAGAGGAAAAAAAAAAAAAAAAAAAAAGGGCAAAACCCCAACAACCCATATGTTTAAGTAGTGTCAAAAATGCAAACACCTTCAGTCTCAGCCAAAAGGAAAAAATCTGCTAGCTACATACTGTGTACAGAGAACATATGCTACGGTCAAAAATTCAGTGGGAGATTGTAAGCTCCCTGGACAAAACGCAGCCTCTTCTAACCGTGAAGCTGAAGCAACACCACAGTGCAAAGTAGCAACATCAAACCTTAAAAGACAACTGTCTTTGAGATACCAGTCAAGAGTCTTACAGTTCAAATGACCAAGTTACTTTTCCTAGCCCAACAAGTATTTAAAAAGCCCAGCTACAGTGTGCATATGTTTTCAGTGTTCATACTGACAAAAATTATGAGCGTGGTTTAAAATTGAGTGTATAATCAAATGGTCCCCAAACACAGAAAACTATTCAAGCCCTAGGACAATTTTTGTCTTTTCACCTAAGTGATGTGGTCATTTGCTTTTCAACTGAGAGAACAGTTGCTGTTTCTCTTTTGAACAGATGCGTATAAAAATGCACAGTACCAAACTAATGGGTTAAATATAGGAATCCTAAAGGACACTGCCAAGGCTCAGAAACTGTGGTGTAGAAACAGTGTAGGCCCGTGGAGCTCTCATCTCTTGGAGCTTACTTTTGTAACACAGCTGACCTACTCTCTGCCTGAAAAATGTCAGGTTTTGATATCACCAGATTGCAGGCACGGTGACAGAGTAAATGCAGGGGGTTTACTTGCTTTAATTGTTTGCTGTGTTGTGGCTCTTTGGGTTCCATTTTTCAGACAAAGCGTTAGCTCAACTGCAAAAAAAAAAAAATCTCCACAAAAAAGATCCCGTGACCCCTCCTCAGGGGACTGTCACACAGGCTGATCTATCTTCAATGACTGCTGTTTAAATGCCTTCTCTCAACATCAAAATAAGATTAATGTTTAAATACAACATACAGGACATAGAAAACTAGTCTGCAAAGGCTTTGAAAAGTGTGTGGACATGCTTCACCAAAAGGAGGGAATTGTGGGGGAAAAGCAGTGGCTATACTTGAAGCAATATGCAGCCTTTAAAAAGAAGCTGATGTGGAATTTTAACAATGCCAGTAACTCCCTGCCTATTTGTCCCTTATAAAGACACAAAACTTTTCTGGGAGGAATTAATTTCAAGTGCTTGGCTGTTTGCTAAAGCTTTTAATATTAAATGCCAGGCTTGCAAGTGTAGTAGGTTTGAAGCAAAAACAAACTGCATAACCAGCTTGCTACTCTGGACAACCCAAACAGGAGAGAGACAGGCTTTTGATAGGATGATTCCTCAAAAAATTTCATCAATTCCTGTCTCAAAATAACATTGAATGAGCTTAAACTTGGACAAGCCTCTTGACTCAGAGTGAAAGAGAAGTCTTACCTAGGAGACCCAGCATAATTAAACAGGTTGGAGATGATCTGTGCCTCACTCTCTGTTTCACATTTAGATCATACCTGGCAATTACTGTACATGGTTTGAACTTACCTATAACTTCTATTAGGGAAGACAGAAACTGGAAAACTCCAAACTTCTCTATGTGGGTGAAACACTACGTACTGCTGACTGCAAGAACATGGAATGGTTTAATAAGAGCCATAACAAGTTTCTGAAACCCACAAAACCCAGTATTCTAAATACAAAAAGCCCTTATATGTTTGAGTATGGTCATAGTATAAAGCCAGCAACAATACTACTGAGAAGAAAGGCTCATATGAACACGCTCCCAAATGAAAAACATCTGCCTTGCTACCTGAAGAGAAGAGACATCTTCCTCTTACCATCTGTTTGTACATCAATCTCTCACTTTATTCTGTTGACTGCGTGACCAGCTTCAGCTTTTTATTTATTTTTGCAACTTCAGTGGGCTCTGTCTTTTGTCGCAATACTTTCTGCCCTCCAACCTGACCTGCTATTGGAACCAAAGAGCAGGTGAGCACATAGGAACAACTGCAAATTGCACAAACCCACAGCACGGGTAGGGAGGAAGAGGAAAACCAACCTTGCCAGCATGGTGGTTGTGGGTGACTAGGCATCTTTGACTACCACAGTGTGAACAGTGTGAGGTCAGTCTTCAAGGTTCTTTGTTGCTACAGTGACAGCGTAGCCAGCCACAGCTAGCTTTGGGCTAAGGGCACTCATTTGGCTGATGTGTATTAGCAACTAGTATTTGGTAACAACAGTAACGGTTTTCTGGCTAGGGATGGTCACGGAGATGTGGAAGACTGCTCCCTTCTGAGCTAAACCTGGCCAAAGGCTGACCCAGGGAAGCAGTTTTCCTGCTGAATCCCGCTGCACTGGACTCCCTCGCTGCCTGAAGGACCTCTACTGTAGCATGCCGCAAGGTTCCTCAGCTGCACAGCCAGCACGCACGACACCAGGGCGGCCGCCGGGCCCCCTTCGCTGCTGGGGCAGAGGGCTGCTTTCCAACTGCTGTCGTTTTTGCAAGGGTGGGGACTGACACGAAGGTAGGGGCTGCAGCTTCAGTTATGCTACCGCCAGAAGCGCCGAGACGCCGCGGAAGCGCCGCGGGGCCTCCCCCAGCAGCGAAGCGGGCGCCGCGCGAGAGGAACGGGAGGCTGTAGGCCAGGCCTCCGAGTCTGTATATCACTGAGCATGAAAACAGGGACAACACAAATCTTAAATTAAAGGCTCTCTTAAATAAGCATCCATCTTCTGCTGCATACACAATGCTTTTTTTTCTTTGAATATATACATACGTATTTTACTCTAACATCTGCGTTATTTATTTAAACTCTGTACTGTAGTAAAATATGCATCATTTTAATCAATAAGGATTTGCTGGCGACAATCAGATTGACATTCAAACGTGGTGGCTGAAAGCTTTTATGTGCCTCTGACATACTGATCGTTCCCCATGAGGGGGAAGGGGTCTCTGTGCTACTTTCATACAGTACGATGAGCTATTGTGTGATAACAAAATCCCTCTGAATTTTCTCTTTTTGATACTGGTCTGATCTACTTAAGCTACATTTTGGGAAGTAGAAGTGGGGGTGGGATAAATATCTCTTTAAAAATGAAGCAGCTGTAACCACAAAAATGAAACCAATAGTAATACAAATCTACAGCATCTGGTATTTACCGACACCCTAGCTCTGCTCGTTTGCTGCTGTCAGATCTGGGGAAGGGAGGGTGAGGCAGTGCCGAGCGGTGCTGAAGATGACCAGCTTTTACCTTCCTCTGTACCCCACTCCCAGACCACTTTCAGATGGGGAATGGGGAGGGTTAGGATGATGAAGGTGAGAACTGGACGAAGTGAAGGGGACAGCCATGGGGACATCAAGCTTCTGTGAAGTCAAATCTGAATGCTGAAGCAGTTCATGAGTCCCAACTCACGTGGTCAGAGCTCTCCAGGGAGAGGCTCTTGGTCTTGTGAGGAGAAACTGGGCTGGGAGGGCTGCTGAGGTTGGAGCTGTTTGATGCAGTAGAGTGTCTCGGAGAGTCAGAGTCCTGCAGCCAAACACACAAGAACACCAATTAGTAACAGGATAGCAAGTTTGAGAGTGACTAAGGATGTCTGAGCAACAGGTGACTGGATTCAAAGGCCTCCATATATTTTCCTTGTCTCCAAAAATACTGAGGAGTTTGGTTTTTTTTCCTCAGAATTTCCCGTTCTGGGGAGACTTAAAAGTAAGCAGTCAGATCACTCTGCTCTCAGCAGGCATAACTGACTCTGTCATAAGGACACAGCACCTGTGGGATGCTTGCAGTCCACACGCTGCCGAGGGCATCAGCAGAACGTGCAACTTCAGGTTGCCTTGAAGTTACAACGGCTCCTTCCTTTTCACAAGTTATGATCTGAGATGCTCTTGCACTAACTGAGGAATCTTTATGGTATGGGCTTCATCACAGCTACCTCTTCTATGTCACTCCCAGGATATTAATTCAAAGCATCTCAATCAAGTTACTCCAGTTGGAGCTTCCAGAGTACAGTAGGCCGCAACTATATCTGAGCTTGAGTTTGGGTTGAAAGCTGCCTTCCAGCTTCACCTGAAAGGATGTATTCAGTACCATGGAAGGCCTGTGTGGTCACTTGATTTTCTCACTCCATGGTAAGACAATGGGCTTGGGGAAGTTTTGCTGGCCAGCTTCAGACTGAACCCTCCCATGTACATTCTTGGTTGGACAGACTGAGTTTAGCACAAGGCAGGACTGCAGTTCTATCACAATGATAGTCTTGTTCTTCGTAAAATATAAAATACTAAATTGAGTTTTACTCCAAATGGAACTATTATATGATAATTCTTAAATTACTCCTTTTTAACTTCAGGCACTAGAGTACAAAGTGTCTCCTGTGAAATGGTTGCTAAGGTAGCTTAAGAGTCTTTGCAAATAAAGGGCAGAAGTGGTATCACCACTTCAAGCTGTGATAGGTCACTGTCAAGCTGCTACTCTACTAGGCTGGTATTTTTGGAACTTTCACTACCCACATATCTCTGGGCAAGGAGCTCAGAGAGGGTTTTCTGTGTGTTAAATACCAGGACCCGAGCTGACACAGTCTGACCCAATTCTTTAGTCAGGACAGCCTGAAATACAGGAAATCAAAATTTTCATTGTCAATGACTCCTGAATGTGTAGCCAAACGCACGACAGAATTTAGCTTTGTCATCTTTATCAACGCACTTAAATTCTCCCCTTTCTCCTGTCACTCACCTCTCGCTCATAGTCCCTTGTCGGTGCATCGCTGCCCTGGTCCAGGCCACCAGAGGATAAGGACCCATCTGAGGGCGATGCCATCGGCTGACGCTTTGCTCCATAGCTACCTCCGGAGAACTCCCTCCGCAAAGCGCTGCCGTTCTGCGCAGACGAGCCTGAGGAGCACCCAGGAATTGAACTGTGTTACAGGTGCCCACTCAAAGCACGGGAAGTTTGTTAGCTGTTTCTCTGGTTAGATCTGCGTTCCTCCAGCATGTCCCAAGATGCTCAGAGCTCATGGCTTTCAGGCTGTGTGGGTTTTTATCTTGTCTGCTGCCAGCTGCAGATTTTCCTGGGGTTTCTCTAGCCTGTCCCTTGGCACACTTTATCCAACAGATACTCAGTCGCTATGTTCCTCACAAAGATAGCAGCTGTAGAAACTGCTGCAATGGCAGCCTGGTGCCAGTGACCTCTTTCCTGAGGGTTGTACCAGCAGGTACAGACTACAGCAGACACACAGGCAGTTGGCAATGTGCAGGAAACGTGGTGCGTGCCACAGGAAGGGAAAAAAAATCCCCAAACCTACAGAAGCTGGGACACCAGTTGTGCCTCTATTTTCACAGGGTTCCTTTATTTAGTCTCTTGCTTGGTCTTGGCACAGGCCAGTGTGCTGACTCTGGCACACAAAGGCAGCATGGCAGTGCTAGGAATGGCGTTTCCAACACAATGCAACTCTTCCATACCAGCAGCCAGTTTTCTACTTTCTCTTTGCACTGGCAGCAAGAGAGGCATCAAGAGCGCTCCACAGTTCAGCAAAAAGTTTATAACCATGGAGCTTGTAAATAACTTGCCACTGACTGAAACCATGTAAGCAAGGAGCAAAGTAGTCCAAAGGGAAAGAATATAATTTTAATTCTAACACCAGTTTTAAAAATCTGAGAAATACGGGGCTCTCAAAAGTGCAAGCTGCTTATTCATGTGCTCCTCTGAAAGCAAGATTGAAATACTGTGCTCACCCTCAACAGGAACAAAATCAATCATCACTTCTGAAAATCCTATCTAGTGGCAGTATGGATAGAAGGAATGCAGGTGGCACTTTCCCTGAAATACCTGTGCACAGACCCCAAAGCAGAAGAGTTCTGTTTGCTTACGTGCTGCCAAGCCGCTGCTCGCACTCATCGACCGTCCTGGTTCCGTGCGGGACTTGGTGATTGACGGGATACTGACAGAGCCACTGAACACGGTCCGACTTTCCTGAGGCCGAAGATTCTGCAACGCAGACACACACAGGGACACGTTTACTCATTGACTGCTGGCTCAGCCCTGGGTGTTACGAAGTGAGGCCCCAAAACACGTTAAAAGCCCACCTTACCAGAGCTGAATTATCTGGGCAGGAAATCGGCAAGATTTGCAAAATAATATTCTGCAGTTTAGTGCAGAGACTGGAAGCACACGCAGCGCAACAGTGAAGTGCTGAATTACATGGACATATGCAGACCACTGAAAGAGTAGGTCTAATAACTCAAGAATATCCGTGAAAGGATCGTTTCCAAGCCTAATGAAGCTGCTGTAGATATATTCAAGTTTTATGGCATAATGCATTGTTTCTGAACACAAGCTTCCAGGGGCCTTACTAAAATGTCGCTCTTTGATGTCATCACTTGTGCCATGCATGTGCAACTTTATGCAATAACCATGTTAATCCCTAATGCCTGCAGAGTTATGGACACCTAGAGGATCTATCTGTATTTCAATTACTTATGCAGTTCCAAAGGTATTAACAGCATTACTCCAGATCCAGGCCCACTGAGCCACAGTGAGAACCAGCCTCCTGTTTCCAGCCTGCTCAAAGGGGATGGCCAGAGCACGTGCCACTGTTTCTCTGCTTATTTTGATTATCACTCCTGTTTTGTCTCCTTAGAGTTCCAGTGTGATTTTTCAAATTGGCAAGTTACTGGACTGAAGTGGCCCCTTACTAAGGGAAGAGATAAAATACAATTTCTCTGCTTGGGTAAGGTAGATCCTTAAGCATAAGTTGTCTTTAAAGAAGTGCTTTGAAGTGAGCTCTGAGAGATTTTATTTCTGCTTCTGTTAACTTATAGCTGACCTTAGGGGAAAAGGCTTCTCAGCTATTTAGCCCATCTCTCTGTAGATGAGCTGGCTTCTAGGCATAGAGGGACTTTCTAATGCCCATGTGTATCAGTTAATCTCTGGCTAAATATGAGACTTCATCCTGTCCCTAACATGATTCACACTATTAAACTCACTAGCATGGACTAGAATTAGGTTTAGAGAACCTTTATAGACGCAGAACGTGAAAAAAACCCTACAGGTAGCTCTGAGCAGTACTTTATTTTCATTTTACAAAACACCTCCTGCAGTAACTGTTCATTTGTTCCTATTTATATTCAATTTATTTCCCCATCCTCAGTCTGAGATCAAGTAGGCACACATAAAACAACAGTTGCAACCGCCATGCCTTTTTAAGCTAAGATGTCATGGAAATGTCAGACGAGAACAAGGATTCCACCCCCCACAAGGCTATTCTCAGAGACCCTCATATACTACCTATTTCTCCATCTGTATTTTAAAATGGATAATCAAACAGAGGCTTTGTAATGAACAGATTTTATACAGTTCAAACTTTATCAGATAATTGTTACCAACCTGCTGTCAATCCAGTCTTAGAATCATCCTTAAAGTCATTGCTATAACAGACCCCTTTGCTCTTACAGACAACCCTTCGCTTCTCATTCTCCCAGTGGGATAGAAATGGCTGATTTTTAACACACATCAAATAAGAAACAATTAAAATTTCTCATGTTCCCAGATCTCTCTCAAACACCCACAGAAGAGAATCAGAGACCTTTACCAATGAAAAACCGTTCTCCTCTTATCCCTTGCTGCACTATTCTCAATGAGGATTTATACCTAAAGGCTTAAAAAAAAGTCTCTGAAATAATTTGTGGGATCACACTGCTGTCCCTTGCTTACCTTCCCTCTCCCCCTTTTTTTTTTTTTTTTTTTTTAAATGTGATCAACTAACCTATTTTGTAGTACAAAACACAAAATTTCTGTTTCTGTGTCCTTCACCATGCAATAAACAATGTGGGCTACAGAGAAAATTATGAGCATCCTGGCTGTACATAAACAACAGAGGCTCCCCTGACTGTACGTAAACGAACTGATGGTGTAAGGAGTAAGTTACTGCTGTGTTTTGAGAAACAAAGGAAAGCCAAGTTCAGCACCATGCAAATGTGTGCGCTGTGTTCAAGACACTGGAGCTGAAGGGAAGGTCTCTTGTACCTGCAGAAACCTACAGTGGTTCATTTTGCAAAGAGAACCATTATGTTTAATGATAAGGCGATTAACCCCTTTAACAATGACTGAGCAGACAACATAGAGGCATCAGGGGAAGGAGGGAATGGGTGGGTACCTCAAAAAGACTTGATTTATTTTACTACTGTATTCTAATTATTTTTCATTACTTCAGTTTGCAAAGTCCATGTAATTCCTTGTATAAAGTTTCTCCACAAAGCAACTCTCTCATTGTTCTTTGTTCAAAAAATGAGATAAGCACATGCCAGAGACCCTGGCATTTTGGACCAAAACCCGTGGAAGCGATACGCACGTGATGCAGAAAGGGGATTCAAAGGAAAAGAAATGGCAGTTATTAGCGGTAGTTATCAAAGCAGCAAAACGCAGCAAGTTAAAAAGAAAGAAGAGGGACAAAAAAAAGGGAAACCTGAGCTTGCTTTCCTTAAAGACAGACACAAAACCCCCTCATTTAGAGCAACAATTCAAAACCTAGCAGGAAAATCCTCCCTCCCTGCTGACCCAGATGGAGAAAGATGAGAGAAAAAAACCCAAAACCAAGCCAGCAGCAGAGAAGCTGCTTGCTGAGCAAAGTTAATAGCTGTGAAATAGGGTGAGAACCCCAAATGAGTTCAGTACATCCCATTTCTGTCCATGCGTGGCTGCCCCAGCTCTCGACCCCCACTGCCTCCCCAGCCAGCGGGGCAACAATGCCCTCATGGTTGAACCCAACAGTTACAACATCTGTAGGAAACTGTTCACCCATGGGGCTCTGTCCGTCATGCTGCTGCTTGTTTGGTTTGTTTGGGGTTGTTTTGTTTTGTTGTAGTATTCTGTTTATTACAATATAAAGCTGAGCTTTTAATTCTTCCATGAATTCATGTGACAGCATCTAAAAGCCTACTTTTATCGGGTCATTTTTCAACTCCCTTACGGATTCCATGTTGTTTTGGTTCCAATATCCCACCCGCACTTGGGACCACAGTCCCCTCGGTGGGAGTGTGACCCTTCTTGCACTAAAATCTCCAAACACAAAGGGAGGCTGCACAGACACGAAACCAAACTCACAGCCTTGCTTTCTATACAGCTTACAGCACCTCTTCCCTCAAGTCACAAAGGAGACAAATGCTTTTCTTCACACAAGACTGAACATCTAGTGCTCTAAGGAGCTAACCGGTACAAGTTCTTGAGGCTCCAAGTTGCCTATTTCACTTTTTTTTTTCTCCAGTTTATGCTAGTAAGCTGCAACATGAGGATGAAGTATGCTCCTAAAGCAAAAATGAAGAGTTACTGTTTAAAACACCAGAGGTCATTCCTTACTGATCCCTGTGAGACTGCCCACATGAGAAAGGGAAGGTAGAGGGTAGGTCACAGTGTGGTGACACATCACTGCATATTAAACACAAAAAATTTTATAGTACAGTTGGATTAAAAAAAACATGTTAAAACCAGAACTAACATACAGCTTCAATGACCCTATAATGACCCTCTAAGAGAGAAACAACTTCCAATTCAGCTTAGTATTTTGTTTTGCATTTCAAGAGAGCACTCCTGTTGTGTATTCGCATCTCTCCTCCTGCCAGAAGAGCCAGGATGGCTGCAGACAGGTCATCACAGGGCACATTTTCCAAAATGCTGCTAATGGTTGTGACAGCTGGGACACTTCACAGCAGAGACACATGACCATGCATGTGACCAATCAAACCTTAGCTCTGCAAATTTGTTTTGGAGCCATACGAAAGGGACTACTATCCTCCCACGTTTTTAAATTCTCTCTAGTGCTGTACGCAGGTCTGTATCCAAAAACCTTACCAGCGATGGGGACCTAGAACAGCAACCGAAAGGCACTCAAAGCAGCCTGGCAGTGAAGGTTTGCCACGTGTGTCTGAAGTGTGTCCAAAGGCCACAGAAGCCAACAGCCATGTTTCCATTACAGCAATGGACATGGCTCAGACCCACACAAACCCTGAGCAACCAAACACCTTCACAGACACCTACCTCACAGGTTATTCCCCATTTATCTGCGAATCCACTCCAAGCAGGACTGCAGGCTGCAGCACGGTACACAGTTACAATGCACAACATGCACTTGTGTGCCTGTTCTAGCATGGCTTGTGTTTCTGCAGGACCTAGTAACCCCCGCGTAGTCAGGCCAGCATGCACAAGAGAAGAAGAAAGAAAAGACTGCTTCCATCCCCCCAGTTTACATTCCAACTGGAAGGCTATCTACAGAACAGTGTCTGATCTCAGCCTCTGCTTAAAACTACCAGGATCAAAAGGATCCATGTCAGCAACCATCTTTAATTTTTTATCTTGGTTGTACGTGCTCTAATTTCACTTATTTAACCTAGAAATTGTCTGAAACTTGTCCCTCTCTCAACCTGTGTACAGTACTGTGTAAGAGTTCTTGCTTTCCACATGATTTTGTCATAAACAAACAGTTTGAACACTTGGTCCAACACAGACAGATTGCGACCTGACACACAGCATCCCGCTACTGACCGCTGGAGGATGAGCGCTGTGGAACAGAGAACTTCTCATTCAGAATTCCCACATCCTTTCTGGTGATTAAAAATGCTGCTCTCATAGCAAAATGTTCAGCCCACACTTCTTTTCTTTTTTCTAGAGCCATGAAGTACCTGTTTCTTGGCATGTCAGAGCTGTGGGAAGACCACAGCTGATAGCAGAAAATAAATCAGCTGGGACAGAGCAAAGTTAAGGGGTGAAGGAAACTGCTTACAAGGGTTTTTCTCCCATGTTAATAGGCAGGCAAAAGGAAAACCACACAGTGTTAGTAGAGCGAACACCTGACTCGGCCGTTCATACCCTCAGAGTCATAAAGTCTGCAGTACCGAGGACAGAGCGTGGAGGCGGGGAAAATGCAGGGTTTATGGAATCGTAAGAGAGGAATTTTTCGGCTGAATTAACAGTCATGTGGTAGATGTGCTCAAAGT